CCCCCCGACACTATCCTGCCTTGTGTTCTTACCAGGTTATGTTATATTATGTTACAAGGTTTTAAAAATATTTTCCCCTAAGTCTGAATTCCAGAAAAGTTCTATATAAAGCCATTCTGTCAGTCTGATTTGAAGAAATGGAAGTGTGGATTTGAGAATCCTGCACAGTCTGAGGACATTACATCCAGTATAGCCTTACTTCATTTTGCCTCATTATGACTCTCAATTCAGTTTGCAAAATTCTGTGAAGTAAAAACTTTGAAGAGTAGTGATAAAGGATGGCTGCCATGAATATGTTTTAAGATGGGGTTGAAAATAAGTCTCAGTGGTTGGGAACAATGTCAAATTACTTTAATCTTTTTGGAGAATTAGAAAAATATTACTAATCTAATAAGTAATGCGTAATGTACTAATGTTATCAGTCAGTTCAAGTAGTGGCGAAATAGTGTTTGTGTTTAGCACAGAGGTCTAATTTATTTTTACTTATGTTGTCTGCAACAGCTAAATTTCTTGGAATGAGTCTACTGCTATAGAAATATCCCTTGAGAACAGGGATTTTATTTCCCAGAATTGTTTCAACATAGCCTGTGATAGAAATAAGGCCTGATGTGTATCAGCTGTTCTGCAGAGTTTGCCTGGCCAGTGTTTACTGGTGGCCTCTAGCAGAGGAATGTCAGAGACAGCTGTCAAATGAGCTACAATTTCTGAATATTTTATTGAGTATGAAATCTAGAAGTTGCAATGTTTTTGCCAAAAATAATCTGTATTTTTCATATAATATTTGTATGCATAGGAAATCCTGATGTTATGCACCAGTATCTTTTTGTTTGTTTGTTTTTCCCCTCAACAGTTGATCAAGAAACTATTGCTTTTCATTCCAGGAGAGTAAAGCATACACTGGCCTTTCTAGCTGTAATATAAGTTTTCTACAAAGTACATCTTTATAACAGACTCTGTAATTTTCAGTAACCTATAACGTAAACAATGTTTTCTTCCAGCCTCCAGTAACAAAAAACCTAGTGACTAATTGCAAACCTGTGACTGACAGAATTCGTAAGGCATACAAGGACAAAAACAAATACAGGTATGTTGTTACAGTCCTGTGAAAAGCCATGCCAGGTTTTGTAAAGCAATAGGAAGAGGTGTAAATACATACGTGACCAAAGATTGTATGTGTATGTTAACAAATCTTGGCTCAACTTATTTTAACAGTGGAACTGAAGAAACATACTGATATCTATTTATGTATGTTTCATTGTGCAGAATGATGTGATTTTTTTCATAGTTTCTTATTTAGTAGACTAAATATTTCCATACTACTTGTGTCGCCTTGGGCCAGATCCTAATTTGTGTTGTACCAACAGTAAGCCAGAGTATCTTTAGATGGCTATATATATTGACTATATGTAGTGAGTGAGGGCAGTTAAAGTGGCATAAAAAGGAGGAAAGAGCCTGTCCTGTACCTAGAAGTTGTAAATCTGCTTCATCCTTTCTTCTACTGAAGCATAAAAAAAAGAAAAGAAAAAGCATTTTAGCCCTAACTACCTTGTAATTTTCCTGCAAGGAGGAGGAATGACAGGGAGGGAGGGAGGCGGACAAGAAAAGGGTTTCCATCCCCTTTGGAAAGAGCAGGACAAACCATGATCATGACTGTGGGTTTGTTTGAATGATTGTATTTGTGTAGATCTGCCTGAGATCAGGTTCTCTCAGATCTTTCTTCTCTGAAATCTGCAAGCCAACTGCATGCCAGTGAGGCTGTTTGCTGGCGTGGAGCTTACAGCTTTGTCTCCTGTTGTGGTGTTGGGCAGGGGAGAGTGACGCGGAGTCTCTGAAGCATACAGTTGCCCCAGGAGCGGCTACGAAGTCAAATAAAATGAATGAAAGAAGGTTGCAGATGCTGCTTAGGGCAGCCTTTGGACATTATTATACATTAATTCATAGTACCTCAAGTTGTGCTGTAAGCTTTATAAATAATTCTCTTCCCAGGAGAGTTTATGCGAAAACTGAAAAGCTAACAGAACAAATGAGATTGAAAAATGTGGGGGTGGAGGCAAGGATTTGCTGTGCTTAATGATGTAAATACATTAGTATAAGTCAGTTTAATATATAAGCTGCTCTTTTGTTCCGTTGAACTTCAGTATTGAATAACTGTATTATTAATTTTGTGAGCCTAATAAATGGTGTATGTTCTCAGGCAAGACTTCAAGGAGCAGGCAGGGTCTTTTCTTATATCAAGATAAGAAAGGTGAAAAATATGTGCGGGACCTCTAGTAAGACTGTTGAAAGACCATTTGACCCCCTTTTAAAGTCAAGATGTGCTTCAGAAATTATACACTTCTGCATTTCATATACTTGTTTTATCTGCAAGTTATTGATTAGGTGGGTGAGGAAGGTTTTATTTGTATTTAAGGCTGTAGTTTTATATACTCTTCTGTAATTTTATTTTAAGATTTTTCTGGGATTGGTGATTGGATAAGAAGAACATGTTTTCTCATGTCTGAAGTGTAATTATAAATTACCATTGTAAATTCTGTGTGTTTTAAAAAAAAAAAGCATAGTAAGTGTTATGTCTACTTTCAGATTAATTGTTACTCTTATGCCAAAAGGTATAGTTTACATAATTTGTATTGGAATTCAGTTCTTCGGTTTATGGGTGGCTACTAATAAATCTACAGGAAAGTAGTTCTGTACAAGAACGTTAGCTGAAAAATGTAAATATACTGATGGAAATCAAATTATAAATTCTAATGAAGGTTGGGCAGTCAGATTAGAAATAAGTTTTTAAATAAAATATTGAATTAATATTTATTGAACCTGACTTTAGGTTGTTCTATTAATGTATAAATATATTTTTTTAATAATAAGGTTTGAAATCATGGGAGAAGAGGAAATTGCCTTCAAAATGATTCGCACAAATGTTTCTCATGTAGTTGGTCAGCTGGATGACATACGAAAAAATCCCAGGTATCCTGTTTCTTGATTTGTATGAAGCTTTGAGGTGGTTTTAATTTTATGCTTCAACTGTTTAAACTGTTTGTGTGTTCAAAAAAAAAAAAAAATTATTGCAATGTATTTCTATATTGTGTGTTACAGGGCAAGACCAATTTTAACCAAAAGTACTTCTAATTTTTTCTATTTAATTGAAGCTAAGTGGCAGCTCTCTCTCTTATGCTAGGGGTTACCTCATTAATTTCTGTTACATTTTTATATCTCTAAAAAACTTATAGATAAACTTCAACTATTTTTGAGGCTTTCATTTATGCCATTCTAGAGGGCATACAGTTTATATTGCAGGTAGATTTATTTTAAAGGAAGAACATTTTGATCTGCTTTAGCAATTTTAAAGTAAAGCTTAGGTGGGGATTATTTTGTTACAAAATCAGTTTTGCATACCCATTATGCTTTCATGCTCTGCTACAACATGGCAAGAGGTATTAATTCTTTTTTTTTTTTTTTAAAAAAATATTTGGTGAGAAACCATCCAGAGCCAGAAGGTAGTCCTCTCTTTCTCCACTCTGCAGTGGTGAAAGGTTTAAATACCCAAATCTGAGAATAGGTTCTGTAGTGTTGAATTAGGCTCCTGACATGACTGTGAGATAAATGGGGAAAATAAATGTCCTGGGATACATTCACAGCAACCACCTTGCAAAGCCAAGGATGCTGTATTTGAGACTCAAGTCTGAATCTGCTTCGCAGAAGCATTTAACTGTAGTCCTGAGCCCATTGCATAAGATTGGGGTTCAACAAGGTGAGATAATTTAATAGCTAGCTGTCTTAAAAGTGAGACAGTGCCTCCACTCGTCTCCTCTCCTTCCTTCCTCTCGGTTGCACACTTCTATCTTGCATCTTGCTTCTGTCTTCAGAAAACTAGAGTTCTCTGCCAGTTTAATGAGTTTGGCCTCCAAGGAGGGGTCTGATAAGTGTCAAAAAACAGAGCAAGGAGGAAGGTAGGCCCAGGTACCTTTGGCCAGGGAAAAAGTGAGACAGTGCCTCCACTCGTCTCCTCTCCTTCCTTCCTCTCGGTTGCACACTTCTATCTTGCATCTTGCTTCTGTCTTCAGAAAACTAGAGTTCTCTGCCAGTTTAATGAGTTTGGCCTCCAAGGAGGGGTCTGATAAGTGTCAAAAAACAGAGGAAGGTAGGCCCAGGTACCTTCGGCCAGGGAAAGTCAAACCTCCTCTTGCAGGTAATCTCAGTTGCCTGTAAAGCTACACCATTATTTGCATTTGTAGATAAAGAGCAGGTTTTCACTTGCCTCTTACATTGTAATACTTGCTAGGCCATTCATTCAGAAAGGGGAATGCTAGTCTTGAGACATTTTGTAGCTGAAGGTGGTTTGTATCTATTGCTCTTCCTTAGAAGAGTGCCTTCTGGCCATGTAACTCCTGCATTCCGGTTCCCACAACGACCCGGTTCAAAAGTGGGCAGTGCCCTAACTCATCCTGCCACTTCCTCTTCTTCCTCCATTTCTTTTTATCTGCTGCCTAGGACTTTTTCTTGAAATGTAGGTGTGATTTCAAGCCTTCTGTTAGGCCCAAGGAGGGCACGTAACATGAGTTTCTCACCTTCACTGCTCAAGTTCATGCTTACAATCACTGGCTTCTTATTTTGAAGGATGGTTGCTGATGTCAGACTTGATCCTGACACTGTGTGGTTGTGGTACGAGTATTCCCAATGGATTGAGGCCTTCTTGCAACTTAAAATGGAGCTGCCTATTCTGTGGAGTGATAGCATCCTTAGATGAGGATGTGTTTGAGTAAGGGTGTCTAGTCTGTTGTCATAGGAACCTCAGCAGGCGAGATGAGGCAGGCGAGCTGATCTGTCTTGAATCTTCTCTAATTTTTGTATGATGCACTGGCATGCTACTACGGACTCAGCCTGAGGCTCCATATATGCATACCCTTTTGTTTTTTTTTTTTTCTCTGAAGGAACAATAGTGTATTGTAGTCCCAGATTGTTGGCTGGTTTGTGAAGTGAGGTTGAGTCAATTGCTTGGGCTGTATTCCTGCAAAGTATAGTGCAGTACTGTGGCCATATCTTGTTAGTAAAGGAGAGCTGGCATGGCTATGTGGGCATGCCATTTCCTTCTCTTCGCCATGCTTTCCCTGCATATAAAACAACATAATAGTTATACACAGTTCTTGGGACAAAATAAAAGTATTGTTCACTTACTGATCTGCCTAAAACGTTTGTTTTGCATCCTTAAGGAAAAGTGAGCCTTAATCATCTAGGCATTAATTCTGGAATATCCAAAGAAATGTCAGATTTGCTTTCTTCTGGATGGACTAAAACAGTCTTTCCATTTGAAACAGATTAATATCCTCATCGCTCCCACTTACTGTGCTTTGGTTTGCTCTATGTAGCAGCCTCTCAGTCTGTAAACTGCATCTCTTTCAGATGAAGCTGAACAGGGATATACGCTCCAGGAGTGCAGCTACTGCATTCGCAGGGCTAATGAGCTGCCAGTCCAAGAGACAAGGTCAGGGATAGTCCAGAGTGAACTCCCCAAATGCTTATAGTGTAGACATATGATTGCCATAACCAGCTGCTTTGCGTAGTATTACTTGATAGTGTATACATAGCCTGCTCATCTTTGAAGAGGAGAGGCATATTTTGCTCTTCTCAGATGTAGCAATTTGAATGACTGTTTGTCCTCTGCACGTAATTATCTAGAGCAAGGTTACCAGTTATGCCAGATTCAGTACAGGCTGAGGAAAAGCGGTAATGCCCTGTGTAGGCCGATTCACGTGCTCTAGATTTCTGCTTATTTCCAGCTTCATGTAGGAAGTCTGAACTTTGCTCTTTGAAAGAGCACACCATACTGTAGAGAATACAGCTGACCAGAACTACTTATTTACAAAGGTTAGCAATTACAAGGCATATGTCACCAGATATGATTTCTCCCTCTGGGGAAAATGTAAGGGTCTTGTATCTCACAATATAAATAAAGCACATAACCTTGCCCATATGTGGGAAAGGGAATTTTTGTTGTCAAGCACCAGGTCAGAGTGGCCAAGGATACATAACGGTCTAGCACACTAGTTGCTGCTTTAGTTTCAGTAATTTGCAGTAACTTAGAGTTGTGTGTTTCTTATATGAGAAATAACTCTCTGCAAGAGGTATTATTGGGAGCATGCTTATTTGGTCAGAGTGATTTCCATATGAATTCTCTCCAGGTTGTTGTTTTTGTGTTTTGGTTGATTATACAAGTTCATCTTTGGGTCTGTGATTCAAGTCATGTCCTGCCCAGTTTATATAGTGTTTTCAGTAACTCAAAGCCTGGGGACCAAGCTTTGCCTTCTCTTGTACAAGCTTCTATAGTTTTTATGTTGACTTTCTCTGAAGAGTGCAGCATACACAGTAAAATATTAATAATTTAGTATGTTTACCTCCTACAGTGGAGCTCATTTTGTTATTTAAGATACTTTACTCCTGAAAATATATTTAAAACTATAAAAACCCTTACCTAAGTCATAATGCTGGCCTTCTAAACTGCTGTCTGTATCCAGTGGTGGGCTCTGGGATGATGCATACTAGTGCCCATTAGATGGCAGCGTTATATAAATAGAAGAGAGAGAAATGTGGCTTGTCATTTGATTCCTCAGAGGTTTTGACTCGCTGTCAACCTTGGTGCTCTCAGAATTTAAAATCAAATTAATCTAAAATAATGCAACAATAAGGAAACTGATTACCAGTATCAAATACATCAATTTGGTTTTAAAAGTATACTGTATCAATTTTGTTTAAAAGGATTCTGTTTGTGTTCTTGGTTTGCCAATAACTTTGCCCTATTGTTAAAGGAAATTTTCTAACAAAGACTTCTTGTTTTCTAGAAAATTTGTTTGTCTAAATGACAATATTGATCATAATCATAAGGATGCTCAGACAGTTAAAGCAGTGCTTAGGGATTTTTATGAATCAATGTTTCCCATACCTTCCCAATTTGAACTGCCAAGAGAATATCGGAATCGTTTCCTTCACATGCATGAACTGCAAGAATGGTATGTTACACAGATTCTCTTCAAGTTATTGTAGTGCAATAGCATATAATTAATAGAACGTATTGGTACAAGCCATTTTTTCCCCCCAGTATTGTCATGAAGGAGTTAACAGTAAAGATAATGTGAAAAGATTTGAATGGACTAAAATTTGAGGTTTGCAGGATTTGGGTTTTTCTGTTGCTCTTAAAGTCATTAAGAGCATTGATTGGCCCTAACCTACTCCAAAGACAGAAGTTTAAAAAAAAAAATCAGGACTTCTGACTTTCTTTAAATGTAAAAAAACCCCCATTGTTTGGAATGCCTGTTGCAGAGGGGCAATATAAACTGTTAACTTTCTTACTGAGTGATTTAATTTTTTTTAATCTGTCAGACAGAAATAATTAGCTGGATGATCATCCGAAAAGATACATGTGTGTCTCATTTTTACATAATGTGTGAAATTTTCATGGGTATTTACCTCTTGCCATTTTATAAATAATATTATAACTTCAGAAATTGGGGAAGTTGGTTTCAGAATACAAGCAAAAGTTTGGCAAGTGTAGTGATAAAAATGAGACATGAAGAGTGGTGTAGTAATTTTGTTTCTGATCAGCAAATTATGAGAGATAGCTGTAAGTAAGGAAAGAGGAAATATTAGAGGAACTGTAGAAAGAATCAGAAGGATTGTAGGTAAGAAGAATAGGCGTGGATTGTAGTGCTACAAGCCCTGCTGTAACAGGGGTGGGGGAATGTGGGGAGTGAACCCATTTCAGCAGTTAGCTGTAGAAATTTGGGCTGGAAGAGTAGACATATTGTTGGCTCCCTTTTTGAGGACATCCACCAAGGCTTTGTTAGCTTCACAAGAACACTTTGTTTTGACTTGTTTGTAGCCAAAACAGATTTCTACCAGGGTGGGTTAAAGCGTGCTGAAGTGCTGGTGGAAATCCATGTTTATCAAAATGTTTTACAAAATCATAGGACAGCCCAGGTTGGAAGGGACCTCGAAAGATCATCTGGTCCAACATTTCGTGGGAAAGGGAGCCTAGATGAGATCATCTAGCACCCTGTCCAGTCACCTCTTGAAAACCTCCAGTGGTGGGGACTCCACCACGTCCCGGGGGAAGTTGTTCCAGTTATTCTCACTGTAAAAAAAATTTTCTTATATCAAGAGGAAACCTCTCCCAGTCCAACTTGTACCTGTTGCCCCATGTCCTCTCCACGTGGGTCTTTGTGAAGAGAGAGCCTCCGTCCTCTTTCTAGCACCCTTTACGTACTGGAAAAAACTTTCTTTGCCTGTTTCATGGAAACTCTTTAAAGTTTATATATTTGCATTTATACTATATGAAGCTGTTTTTCTGTTTCCTTCTTTCTTTGTACAGGAGGGCATATAGAGACAAGCTCAAATTCTGGACCCATTGTGTTCTAGTAACACTTATTGTATTTACGGTCATCTCATTTTTTGCTGAACAGGTAAAATTAATATCTTCTTATCAATTCTATAACGTTTAATAGATTGCTGTATCTTCAGGATAACGTAAAATGGATTTCTTAAATAGGTTTTGACGAGTAGCTAGGATTTTTCCTTCATAAAGGAAGTAAAGATTATAGATGACTGATGATTAGATTGCTTCAATTTTTAAGTCATGTTGCGATTCCTTGAAAAGAGAGTCTTATGGGGGGAAGGAGAATGGTGTTTCCTTTTCAGGCACTTTGTGGCTGTCAAGTCCATAAGTGTGCTAAATTTGGATATTCAAAATCAGTAATTGTTTTTGAAAGTCTTGGTCTATTAACACACATTCCTAAAAGTGCAAAGTAAGTTAACAGGAAGAAGATTTAAGTAATAGCAAACTCTAGCCGTGAAGAGAATCTCGAGGTATTTAGGGGCCCTATCTAAATCTCATCCCTAAGTAATTGCAAAGACTCCTATTGAATTCAGAAGGTTTTGAATTTGACTCGAAGGAAAAAACCCTCTGCTTCTGCAAGCATAAAATGGCTTTCTTGAACATGATTAATCCTGCTAAACTTAGAGGGAGTCAATGGAACAAATCATATGGGTAATTCTTTGCAGGTTGGGGCCTTAAGTAACCCTTTCCGTGGTCTGATGAAGAGGGTGTAATTCTTGAAAGGTTGGCTTTTGATTATTATTTTTTTCCCACCTGTAACTTTTGCATGAATCTTTCCCTTGATTTTCAGCCTTTTGTATATGTTAGAAAACTCGCCCTCCATTAGTAACTTTTTGGTTTTGGAAGGGAGTACTCAACTCAGTAGTACAGCTAGGTATATGAATACTGTTTTAAGATGCCAGCTTTGTGGTGGTGTTTTCGAAACGGAATGTAGCCTGATGTTATAATAATTTAAATACACAAATTAAGTTTAAAATAATCAGAATATAGGCATACTGTATTTTTCACTTTCTGCTTGTATTCTGGTTATTGAGAAGTCCAGTGGAAAAGTGCAAGCCTAACAGATGAATTTGAGTAAATAACTTTCTTCCTGTGCAGTGGGAAAAAAAAAAAGGACAGTATTGACTTAATTACCATGGATGGTACAGATTTTATAGTTTCTAGGATGAAAGCCTGACCAGCTGTGCACCTCTAGCCCAGCACAGATCTAAATAATTGTATTTTTTTTCTCTCCTCAGCTAATTGCACTTAAACGAAAGATTTTTCCAAGGAGAAGGATCCAAAAGGAAGTTGGTCATGAACGAATCAAAGTGTAGAAGGGCTTTATTGTGGAGATCAGTCTACCTCAAGATGTGATAAGCATTTAAAATCTCTGTCTCATAAGTGTCTTTTATGTTTGACATTCAACTACGTTGATATGAAGAAAAAAAATCATGCATCTACAGTTAGAATCTCCACAGTACTCTTCATGATATACAAGCTGCTGGAGCTGTGACAATGCAAAACAACAAAAAAAATAATTGCAGGAAACCTGTACATAGGCAGTTTTCAACAGATCTTACTTTACAACTGCTAGTTCATGGCCATGTTATCCTTTTTTATAAAAAGGGTTACCTAAAGAAATGTAGCTGCATTTATTGCAGTGGATGTTGCCAACTTGGAAGGCAAAGTTGTTTGGGATCAACTTAACAGGTCCTTGATCTTGCATTCCAAAACATTTTGCAGATTTCTGTCGTCGCTGCTTTTTTTAGCGTTATGGGAAAATTGAGAATTATGTAACTTGTCATTTAGATTTAGTATACATTTCTTGATGTTGACATTCTTTAAAGCACAGTGACAATTCTTGCCCTATTTGTAGTATTTAACTGGGATTTGGAAGAAATGTACACTAATAAAAAATACACAGTAAAAGAACAACTAATGGTTATTTGAAAGATACTTTATATCTATCTGGTGTATTATATTCCAAAGAATACAATGGTGTTATTTCTTGACTTGATTACAAAGAGAGGGTTGTAATTCGATGAAAATGATCAAGGTATAGTATTTTACAAGCGTTGTAAGTATAAAAGCAAAAGTGCCTCTCCATATGAATGGGTAACAAACTGTTTTAATGTAGCAATGTATGGGAGAAGTGTTTCACTTCAGAAAACAATATTTGTACTGACATGAAGCTTTGGTGTTTTTAAATTTAACAGGGTTTGGCCCTGTATTTTGTTGAGTCATCAGAATAGTACGGTTTTATGTGGGAAAGGATACTGAATCTTTTCAAGCAAAAATTTTTGGTGGTGCATCTTCAGTTAATTGTACTAGCAGTATTCAGAAAAGCATTAATTTTTGTAATCAGATGATGTACAAAATGTATGTGCATATGTATTGTAAGATACTTGGTTTGCTTTGAAATTAACTAAAATGTGATAAAAGTTTTGTCTGTTCTTCCTGTTTTAAAGTAAACCAAAACTCACCCATTTTGATAAATTAGCCATTAGTGTGTATGAATCCTTATGTTAAAAGTTCTTGGTTTTCCCTTAAAAAACTTCCAACAGTAATAACTTAATATTAATTTGAAGCATGAATGGATTCTCAAAGTAGAATCAAACTTTTGAGCATTGTAAAAATACAAGCACTTTTAATTTATTAAGGTTATATTTCATGCTAGCAATATATATTATGCTGAAATGTAGAATATAATAAGCTGAAATCTACAGTACTTCAGACTAGCAGAAAATGAGACATTTCAAGAAATACAAGAAAGCTTTGATAGGTTCTTGCACTTCAAACTATTATTAGATTCAAGTTTGACTAGAATCTGGGTGGTGTTTTTTTTTTTTAACTAACATTTGGCATTCTAATCAAAATAGTTGGAAAACTTGATTGAAATTTTAAGGCAGTTTTTCTGCTGAAGTTATGTATAAATAGTTTGCATAGGTAGCTCAGATGTCACTGCAATTCATTTTTGTTTAAGCAGTTTTGAAGGTAAGTTCATGGCATTTTGTTTAACTTCAGCAACAATAGCCAAAAGATGTAGCATAAACTTACTGAGAAGCATCCATTGAAAATTACTGCTAAAATTTGGAAAAAAAAAACAAGCAAGGGAAGCAAGATAATATGCAAACAGTATTGTGATGGCAACTAAGCCCCCCCCCAGCCACTCACTCGTTCCTGCCAGCGGGATGAGGGAGGGAATTGGAAAAGTAGAAGCGCTGCAATACAGGTGTTACCAGCACAGTTTTGGTCACCAGTGGAAAATGCAACGCCACAGGGGCTGCTGTGAGGAAAGTTAATGCCGCCCCAGCCAGACTCAGTAAAAACTTAAACTCAGTTAAGGAAATACTAAGTAAAATTTCTCAAATGGTTGAGGTTAATGAGAACATTGAAAACTGAAATAGTGCTAAGATTTTTTTTTTAAATTTAGATTTTGTATTTGGTCTTCATAAATAAAAAGCGAAATACCTGAGGACAGAAAATCCAGTGAGAACAGTAGAAAAATTTGAAATGTAAAACGCAGTTTGTAAAATTAATCTGACTGGAGATATATTGCCTGTTTGCATTGACTTTTGGGAAAAATCCTCCCTCGGCATCTTACCCTAGCCTACATACACCGTAACAACCACTTTTGCAGACTTTTTGTTGTCTGAACGAGAAATTAAAGCCATTGCTATTAAAAAAAAAAAAAAAAGGG